CTCAAGCAGCCAGAGAGTTTCGAGGGTGGTGAAATTATTTTAGAATTCATGAGGAAGAGGAGCATTCAGCTGGGCTTATAAGAGCGATTGTATCTCATAAGCAAAGGGAGCATTCAAGGAGGACAGGAGCAAAGACTGATACTTGGTCATTCAGAACAGCAGAGATTAATTATTTGAGGCTGGAAGTTGATCTGGCCTGGGTTTCCTTGCAGGGCTTCTGCTTTGGTCTAGGTTTGCCAAGAGGACCTCAGCGTGGGCAGTTGTGCTCAGTGTGTATCCTGGCTTCCTCCTGGGCCATCAGACCGACCTGGGAACTCAGTTCTTATGGTGAGGGTTGAGGAAGAAGGCAGCAAGGCCAGAGACTGGCACCTCATCTCTTCTGCCTCATCCAGGTGGGCAGAGAAAGTCTGAACTCTGGTACTGGAAGGGATCTGCAAAGTCCCCTGGCTGATGGCTACATGCAGGGGAGGGGGAGAACAGGGACTGCTAGTGCAAACCTACCAAAAGGGTATAGTGGTGGTAACGAGGTAAGGGCTTTGCAGAAAACTGCACTCAGACTATTACAACAGGGACGTTCTATCTCAGACTCTCGGGATGAAGTCCTCACATGGGATCCCCACCTGAGTATGACCGCCCAGTTCCTGTAGTCTCACCCTCGCCAGGAGGCTGTAGTTCTACTAAGCCTCAGGACAGACTTGACACCTTCCTCTCCTCTGCTCATATCCAGTCCTAGGCCAAGATCTGTGCCTTCGTCTTCCCCTGTGGCCAGTCCAAGCTGTATTCATCTCTTGCTGGACCGCTGCAGTGGCCTCTTCACTGCTCCCTACTCTGTCCTACAGTCCCCCTCGCACACTGTGGCTGTGGTAGTCTTTCTACAACACCAGTGCGCTCTTGCATCAGCCACTGCTGAAAAAAAAAAACCCTTTCCCTTCAGGGTCATCTTGCTCCACGCTGTGCCTCCCAGCCTCAGTCTGGCAATCCTCTCCAGGACCCCAGCCCCTCCTCATCTGGTTCACAGCTCCTCTCCCTTCAGCCTTTGGCTCATCTGTCATCTGTCACTTGCATGGGAGCCCTTCCTGCTCTCCTCGACAAGGTCACGCTACTCAGTGACTAGCTCTTCCAGGATGCCGACCTCTCCACAAAGGACCTCTCCATTCATTTCTGGGACTGCTTGATTACAATGTGCCTCTTCCACTACCCTGTAATGGTGGGCCCCATGCTATATGCTAAGGGTGGACTGCTCTGTAATGTTTGCACATTGCTATGGGCTAAATACAAGCACAGTGGCAAATTTCAAGACACTTACAGTTGTGGTTCTCCGAAAAGTCCTTGAAAATATAATGATTGTCTCTCAAGCTAGGGTGAGCTAGCACCAGTGTACCACTAGAGCGGGCCTTGTATGTGGTATTGCACCTACTGACCAATGTCACGTCTGGAAAGTTACAGAAGAACTAAAAGCATTTGGTGAATGAATGGATGAGCAATACTGATGTTTAAATGAGCTTTAAATGATGTATAGTTGAGGACTATAATGGCTGTTTCCGGAAGATGAAAGACTTTTTCAAGAAAGGAATAAGGAAGTCTTAAGATTTCTGTTTCCTGAGTACTATATATTTAACAAATATTTCCCTAGCAGCCACAAATTCAAGTGCTTTATAAATACAAGCCCACTCAGCCCTCACCATAATAAAAAGGATACGAACAGAAGCCCCATTCTACAGAAGAGGTAACCGAGGCTCAGAGACTTGAATCATTTGCCAAATGGTGGAGCTGGGCTTTGAACCCTGGCAGTGTGGCTGCAGAGCCCATGTGTTTACCCACCAGGCTGTGCTGCACTGGGTCAGCTTTGGAAATAAGCCATGTGTGTTCCACCCTAAGTACATCCATGCCAGAGATACTGGGCCGTGCTCCTTGGACTACTACACCTGGACAAAGAAACGATGCTTAGAGGAGTTCCCAAGATGAGGACTGGAAAGGAGTGAGGGGACTTGGGCTAATCTGGAGAAGGATGAAATAAAAAGACTAAGGCTTTTCAGGAGCCATGAAATAACCAAGGAGATGAGCCATAAATATTTATTTACTACATACAATTAGCAGGAAATTGACCTGGCTACTTTCATAAAGGGAAACATTAAAATTGGAGAGGTGAATTTGAGACCTTAGTATTTGCACAATGTCCTTCCCTGCATGTGGTCTCATTTCACTTTTAAGACCACCCTGAGACATGAGGATAATTATGCTCGTTTGCATAAAACCAGGACAGCGGAGTTCAGAGAGGTTGGCAATGGACCTAAGCTCACAGAACTGCCCATCAGCAGAAACGAGCCCAAGTCCCACACCAGATGACCATCAGTCCCAGGCCCTCACTCTGGATCAGCGCTTCTTCCCAAGCCTGTCTTGTAGAATCACAGCCATTCAGAGGGAAGTCAGTTCCTTGGGCTGATTATGCTGAGCACCAGTGCAAAGTGAAAATGTAATTGGTTTTGAAGGAGGTTTACACAGATTCTAGGGGGGCGAGCTACTATTGTGATAGCAAGATTCGAGAATATGTCTCTAACTCTTGATGGAGTTGTTTATTTAACAAATTAACTCCTAGCTACTATGTGCCTACTGGGCACAGGGAGTTTTGAGATTGAAGATGAACTCTTTATTGTCCATTCTGTATGCAGCACTGGGGATCACTGAAAAGAAAATGAACAGAAAAGCTAATGAACGCTATCAGCAAGTGAATGACATCAAGGCCACTTTTCTCTTACTTCTATTTAACATCATCATCAGAGCAATAAAAATTGTAGCTACTCTGTTCACAGAGCACCTGCTGAGGCTTTTAACCCTCAAGTCCACTCTGTGAGGCCAGAACTAGTATTAACTCCATTTGAGAGATGAGGAGCCTGAGCCAAAGAGATAACAGAGCTGAATAGGAACACAGCTTACATCTCACTCTGAACACCCAGCTTGGTGTTTTCTTTCAGACACTCCTGGGGCAGCCCAGGTGGACAGGGATTTGGAGCCATTGGCCCAAAGTGTGGGGAAGGCCAGACTTAAAGAAAGAACAAGGAAACCAGAGAAACAGCAGCAGGAACTGGCAGCGCCTAGAAAACCACACAGTGGGACTTTTCAGGGCAAGAGGGAAGAAGGGTGTGGAAAGAGACCTAGAGGTAAGGTGGCCTGGGAATGGGGAAGGAACCCTGGGGCTCGCAGGATGAATCCAGTTTCAGGGACTTCTCAGGCAGCATTTCTGGAGAAGTGCGGGGTGGTGACAGATTGCTGTGGGCTGCGAGTTGAGTGGGAGGTGAGGATTTTAGGCGGGAGTCGACTGAGACTCCCTCTTCCAAGAACTGTGACAGTTGGGGAGGGGGCAATGGAGGAGGACTCCAGCAGCCATGAGCCCCAGGGCTTGGTGGCCCCAAAAAACCCTGTTATCATTATGGTTACTTTTCCCAGTGCTGGGATGGACCCAGAGCCTTGCTGCCACTGACCTGCATCCCATCCTAGTATGATACTTTCTGTCCTTCCTTTCTTCCTTTCCTGTCTTCCTTCCCTGCTCCTTCTGGCTCAGCTTCCCATAATTGGACCAAGTCTGAGAGAATCCACTGAGGAAGAAGAAAGCTGTTTTTCGAATCACAGTCAAGAGGTTTCAGTCCATGGCTGCTCGGCTCCATCACCTTGGCCTGTGGTGAGAACTTCCCCACTTCCAGTCCTGCCAAGGGCTGGCTGGGGACCTGCCTTATAACTCAGGAGTCTTTGGGGACACTTGTCTAAGCCACACCACCCTCTCTTTCTATCCATTCTTTTTCAGAGGTGCTGTGCTGGGGATGGAACCCAGGGCCTCATGCACATTAGGCAAATGCTCTGCCTCTAAGGTACATTCCCAGCCCTCCATCTCCAAATACTTACTGAACAGAGACCATGAGCCAAATCTTGGTTGTGCTGGCTTCTCTGGCTGTTGTGATGCACAGGGCTGTGTATGTCATCCTTACAACTGAGTGAGGACACAAATATAAGCAAGAAACACAAGTGTGTGTGTGTGTGTGTGTGTGTGTGTGTGTATACACATTGTATAATATTTTTAGGCTGGGTATGGGAGCACATGCCTGTAATCCTAGCACCCAGGAGGTGAAGGCAGGAGGATCACCCCAAGTTCAAGGCCATCCTGGAATACATAGTGAGACCCGGTCTCAAAATAAATAAATATTCTTTATAAAAATTTTATTTTTATATGTTTGCAATACCTCACGAATATATTCATCATGGGGTATTGGTACATGTACACAGCTATCTTGATCCTTTTTATTTCCCCTCCCTTGCTTCCTCTCCTATTCCCCCATCCCCTTCCCATCTCCACAAAATCTACATCCCTGTCTATCATCTTTCTTTTATAATAACAATAATGGCCAATGTTCATCGGGCATTTCCAATGTACTAAGTACTTTGCAAGCAATTTTTTAACCTTTCATGTACACACACACAAAAAGCCTCAAGAAACCCACGAGAAAGACGGTGTTGGGATTAGTACCTTTCACAAGTCAGGAAACTGAGGCACAGAGAGATTAGACATCTGATCAAAGTCACAGAGCTGACAGGTGGGACGCGGGCCTCGCTTGGACTCGCCTGTCTGCAGACAGCCACCAAGGCTGCACTGCCCCGACCTCCTTTGTTCCCACCAGTGGCACCGGGATGCATAGGACCCGACCAGGTGCCCGCGCACCTGGCGCGTGGCAGGAACGTAGACCCTCAGCCCACGCCGGGCCCGGACCCCTCAACAAGCTCGGGGAAGTTGGGGCGCGGGGCGGAGGTGCAGGCCCCGGCGTCCCCCGCGGTCCCGGCTACAGGTGCGCTGCCGCCAGGTGCCAGGTGCTCAGCTGTGGCCTGAGCCGCCCGTCTGACCCCCGAGTCCCCGCCCCGCCTCGCGCCGCCCCCCGCGTCCCAGCGCCGTCCCCGTCCCCGTCCCCGTCCCCGTCCCCGTCCCCGGCTCCACCCCCGCCCGCGCCGCCTGAAAAGCCGGGCCGCGGGGCGGCGCGCAGAGCCGGCGAGGAGCAGCGGCCATGACGGCGGAGAAGGCGCTGCCCCTGGGCGACGCGAAGGCGGCCGAGGAGGCGCGGGAGACCCAGGCGCTCGGCGGCGGCGGGGACGAGCGGGACCACACGCGAGACAAGGCGGTCCACGAGCGCGGCCACTGGAACAACAAGGTGGAGTTCGTGCTGAGCGTGGCCGGGGAGATCATCGGGCTGGGCAACGTGTGGCGCTTCCCCTACCTGTGCTACAAGAACGGCGGAGGTGAGGCGCGAGGGTCCGGGCGCCGCGGGCTGGGGCTGGGAGGACCGTCTTGACGCGCGACCCCCCGGGGCGACTCGGCCACCTGTTCCCCGCTAGCGCACGCGCCGCTGCACACCTGAGCCTGGCACCTGCCAGCGCGGGGACCTCCCGCCAGGAGACACGCAGAGACCGAAGCCGCAGGTGTCTTGGGGCAGGGGACGCTTTGCCCTGGGAGCCTCAGCTTTGCCTCGTGGCCTTGAGTCTGGAGCATTTGCTAAGTGCCAGGCGCCGCACGAAGCTTTCCTGCATTGCTTCACTTCGGGTCACAGTCACCTTGGCCGGCAGCGTAGACCCATCTCGCAGATGAGGAAACTGAGGGTCGGAGAAGCCGCTCCCTGAGCCAGTGAGAAAGCGAGATGCTGACTCCAGAGGCTTTGTTTTAATGTGGGCTTGGGCAGACAAGTGGGAGAACTGTTTGGTGAGGCTTTGCTGTTTGCTTTCCTGCCTTGTCTTTTACATCTGCTCCCGAGGCCTTTTCTAGGGCTGGGATTTGGGGCCTCTGTGATGGAAGAATTGGCAGCAAGCAATTTCTTTGGCTTGTCTCAGAATCACCCACAACAAGTGGCAGCGAGAATGGCCGAATGTGTAAGACATGCTTGGAGATTGTGGAGGAGAAGGGAAAAGAAGGTGATGAGAGGGTCATTTCTAGTGACAACATCCCTGTTTATCAAAAGATGCAGTTGTGAGTCCACAACTGCCCCACCTCAGAGAAGGCGTTCCAGGCTTCAGGTCATATGAGCAGCACGGCCCCACAGGCCCGTGGCAAGCGATCTTATACAGCCTTCTTCCATGGCACCATTTCTCTGAGAGATGCCTGTCTATGCATCGCCATCTCTTTGGGGTACCCCCTGCTTCTCCAGCCAATGATCGGCCCCTGAGGAAGGTGTCTCAGACACTGGCTGGCAGGGACAGTGCAGGGCTTCCTGAGCAGTCCCAGCAGGGGGAGCAAGTAGGGCACTGCGGCCCAGGAGGCCCCAGGTGTTCCCTCGGTCCTCAGCTAAGAGTCCTGGCCCTCTTTGCAGACAGCCTTTATAAGCTGTGATGTGCTCTTGGGAATCTATGGAAATCCTGCAGTGTATTCCCCAGACAAAAGTTGTTTCAACATCTTTGTTAATCCAGGAAATTGTTATACTAAAACAAAAAGCTTTCCTAAAAGTAGAAAACAGGGTAAATTGGGTTAATTAAAAATTCTGCCACAGATTTTTTAAAAAGGAGAAGATTGTAGTGAACAAAAGTTACAAATGAGCCACTGTTGGGTCCCCCCCCCCCCCCCTCTAATTTGGTAAGTGTCTCCATCCATGCAGATACCCCGGATTGCATTAGTATCTTAAAGATTCCAGGACTAGCTTGGTGGATAACATGGACCAGAGACTTGCACAAGGTATCATCTTTTAGGTTCCAGGGCAGCGATGGCGAACCTTTTAGAGCTTTCAGTGATAACACAGCCTGCTGTGGCACACGTGCCATAGGTTTGCCACAACTGTTCTAGTTCATAGGTAAATTGCAGTGTATTAAAGAACTGCTCAAGCATTTTAATTGATTAGATTTAGATTCAGCAAGCAGATAACTTCATTCCCTTTCACATACTTTTTGCCTTCCAATATAGTTGGGCTGTTTATCCATTATTCCTCACCCCCTGCTTTTTTTTTTTTTTTTTTAATCTGCAGGGCTCTACTGATAGGGCCCAACAATAGTTTAAACTTTCCCAGAGTGAAACTTTAAATTACTCACTTGCCCAGAAAAGTTAAGACCCTTTCAAAACCTGATAGATAGGGCTTTGCTATCAGAATTGATCAAAAATGTTGCTATTAATCCTTGCAGTTAAAGGGATTTCATTTAGGAAAAAAAAAAAGCAATTTCAGTTGGAACCTTCATTTGTGAGATCGGATGGTGGGAAATAGTATGTTTTCATGGTTTGTTATTACACAGGAGAAAGAATGAAGGATTTGGGGGAAAATCCCCTTCTGCTTGCCATAGCTCATGTTTACTTCAGTTATTTAATTTGTTTTGCTGAAAGACCCAGGAAATGGATACTGTGTTTCAAATTAGGAGCTCTAAACCCTGAGGTGGTCTTTTCCCAGCCTGAGCCACCCTGGCTGGATAGATGTTTGTGACAGGGTGACAAAGTCTTGGATCCCAGCTCCACACCTGGGCCTTGTGTGTAGGGGCACTTAACTTTTGGAAGCCTGACATTGCCCCTTGCATGATTGATTCCCTGAGAATGCTTTTCTTTATTAAAAAAAGATTTTCTTTTTGCAGGTTGCTCTGAAAGTAAATAAGAAGAAGGGTCCCCTTCCCCTGGCCTGTTGAGATTACGTTAGAATTATAAAGAAGGGTGTGACATCCAGAGCAGGAATGGACTTGGCCTGTGCTGGAGGATGGAACATATAAACTAAAGAACTGAGCTTCAATAAGATGCTTTCTTTTGCATTATCATCTTAGCTTCACTGGGAGCTAAGCAGTGCAGATATTGAGGACTAAAAGCCCCGTTTGACAGGTGAAGAAGTTGAGGCTCAGAGTTGTGAGGTAGACCTGCTTATGGTCATAAGAGCCCAGACACAGGGCTGAAGCTGGTCCTCCCAGCTGCAGCTTGAGCTCAAACTCAGAGAGGGTTACATCTTGCTTATGGCGGCCACTTAGTAAGGAGTTCTTGTGCTGAACACAAAACAATGATGGCAGGTTTCATCTTATTCCTTTGCATCCTTCCAGGGGCATTCCTGATTCCCTATGTGGTATTTTTTATTTGCTGTGGAATTCCAGTTTTTTTCCTGGAAACAGCTCTGGGGCAATTCACAAGTGAAGGTGGCATTACTTGTTGGAGGAAAGTCTGCCCTTTATTTGAAGGTAAGTGTTGATTTAATTAGAAAATAAAAATCTGCCCAATAGTATCAAGCTACAAAGAAGAGCTGAGGCTGTTTTGCAAAGATAAAGACACAAGTTTCTCCCTCTCCTTTGTCCTTTTAGGCATTGGCTACGCAACGCAAGTGATCGAGGCCCATCTGAATGTGTATTACATCATCATCCTGGCCTGGGCCATCTTCTACCTGAGCAACTGCTTTACCACCGAGCTCCCCTGGGCCACGTGTGGGCACGAATGGAACACAGGTATGGCCCCCAGGGAGGGTATCTCTACTGGTTCTGCTGGAGGACCTGGGATTGGGGGTGCATCATAGGCCTCTGGGCTCTTATCAAAAGTCCAGTTTCCTGGAAGTAGCCTCACTAAAATGAGGGGGTCAGTTCTGTATCTGGAGTGGGTTTATTCTATGAATCACAGCTAGAGCTAAGCATTGGCCCAGGGATTGGCATGGTGAGGAGAGTAAGGGTGCCCTGGGCTCTTTGCTAAATGCAGAGTGAACCCTTTGGGGACTGGGCGGCAGCAGATGGGACCTCAGGGAACCAAGACTCCAGTTCCTGCCCTGCCTCTCCAAGTGGCAGGTTACCTCTGCAAAAGAAGAGATTAGACTAGATTAAGGGCTGCAAACCAAGGGCCTTTGGGCTGATTTGTCTTTAAATGATGAACAGCAAATTGAAGAATATATTTGATTCACACTTCATGTGAAAATCCAGATTTCCAGCTTCTCTTCAAAAATTAAAAGATCTGGCAACATTCCTGCTTGGCAGAAATGGCTGCAGCTGAAATGCAGCTGTTTCTTTAGGTGATCTATCCTTGGGTTGTTACCATCCTCACCCAGGTTACCTTCTTCATCTGCCTTACTTCCCTAGTCCAGCTAGATATTTGAATTCAATGCCCCTGACCTCAGAATGCAATGATTGTTTTATATTACCTTTGTTTCCTTTTTGATATATTACTTGCATTTCAACTGCCATCCTATCAGGATTGAGTTTTGTAATCTGGGGAGGGAGAATACCTGTCCAACTCCTTTTTTGTGATGGCTATGCTCCCAGCAGACATTACTAATCGATTGCAGCATACCTTCTCAGGTTTTTGCTTGTTTGACTGGAATTGGATCACACGCTTTAACTTCCTCACCACCCATGTCAGAATCTAGGGTTAGACTGTGCCTGTGAGTGGCCTCTCATTCTTACCTCTGTGATCCAGGAAGAGTGGCAGAGTGTTGGCCACCAGCAGAAGGAACAGCAGGCATCAGACCTAGATAGTGTTGTGACTGGATGTCTATCCCATTGACTTTGCTCTGCTTCCCTCTCAGTCACATTTTATGGCAGCCTTGCTCTCTCCAGGGCCCCTGGTTCTTAACCTTCCTTTGGCAAGGGACGTCACAGAGGTGCTACCAAACCAAGATTCAAGGATATTTTCTTGGAGGTATGCAAATCCTCTATGATAATTTAATTATGTATTTTGAGAATCCTCTAAAAATAGGCACACATTCTGAACCTTGGCACAACCACTTTGTAACTGAGGATAGTCAGGAGATTCTACTTCCTGACTTTGTGTTTATAGTTCAACATGAATTGGGCAATAGAATGACAATGGACAAGGGAAAAAAAGCGGAGAGATTGAATTCATAAATGGTGTGTTAGGGGACTGGGATTGTGCCTCAGTGGTAGAATGCTTGCTTAGTATGTCTCAGGCCCTGGGTTCCATCTCCAGCACTGCAAAAATGTTATTATAATTTTAAAAAATAAAAGAAAAAGAAATGATGTGCTGGTACAAATGGAAGTGCAGCTGAGAATGCATAAACTATAGGAGTGCAGGTTTTGCAGAAGTGTGACCAGAGGAAACTGGCCATAGAATCGAGTCTCAAGTAGCCCATGGAGGAATCAGCCTGAAGGCCAGCAGACCTGCCTCTTACCTGTCATCTCCATTTGTCTGTCGGGAAAGCAATTTGATTTCACTAAGTGGCATTATCCTACATCTCCATCTTATGTTATCACTCAGAATTGTGTTGGCTGGTATTGGCTGGTATTTAACTTGTAAATTTAATTTTGCTTTTCCAGTTGAATAAATTATATAGTCACAAAGACTTTATAGCCCATTGTATATTTGTACATGGTTAAATATCATTTTAATAAACATAACTGGTCAACTTTGGGTGTCTGAGAAATTTTTTTACTATAGGAAAAAAATTAAAAACAGTTTCAGAGAATGTGATACAAGCTAAGCGCTCCTCTCACCCAGCAAAAGGCCCAGGATGTAGCAGTCCCTTGCTTATAATTTCAGTTTTCTAGATTCTTCTTAAGACTTAACTGTGGACCCTGAGGCCGCCTCCTCTCAGAACATAGTCAGCCTTTGCCAGGAGGAGCCGGGAGTGGCGGCGTTTCTCCAGAGGCCCACATGTTCCTGCATCCATTGCTTGTAACCCTTTCTCTAAAACAGTGGTGGGAAGCCTGTGGCACACGTGCCACAGCAGGCTGTTTGTATCATTGAAATCTCTAAAAGGGTCACCATCTCTACTCCAAAGGCACACTAATGCCTGCAGTATATGAAACATCACATAAAGGAGGTGGGTCCTGTCCCCAGAGAGTGCAGGTGTAGCCTAAAGCGTGCGCGCATGCGTGAGAAGAAAGAAGTGCCCGGCCAGTGGGCGCGCACACCGAGCTGGGCGCTGGGAGCTGCCCAGGGTCCTGAGAGCGCAGGCGCAGGAGCCCCTCTGCCCGCGGGGAGCTCGGTAAACAGGAAGTGCACGTTCTGTAGGGGCCGACAGTACCAGGCATTAAACACAGCCAAGGAAGTGGGGTCCCAGCAGGAATTTGTGCTCAGTTCTGTCTTTAACTTCTGGTTTTATGGAAGAGGGAGAGGGTGCAGGTGAGGGTCCCCTGACTATGTCTGAACCTTAGATTCTTTCTCTTCAAAATAAAAGGCATTAGAGAAGGGGATTCTCAGAGGGCCTTTGAACCCTGCCTTGCTTAGAATTCAGGGGAGGGAGAAGAGGGACGGCTTCCTGGAGGAGGAGGGGTTAGTGGGTTGCTCCGGGCCTCCCTGGATGAACACTAGGGTATTTTTACATGAAATTCCCTTGGTCATCAAGTTTCTGAGAAAGCTGTTCAATAAATCCTTTCTGATTGATTAGATGAAGAAACCAAAAATTCTTTACACGTTTAGGTTCTTGGCTTTTCATCAATCCTCACATCTTTATAAGCAGCTGCAATGTTAGCCCCCTTTTAGAGAAAAGCAAAGTTTCAGGTGCGTTCCTGCCCTGGCGATACCACGATTGACCAGTTCCTGTAGTCCCTCTACTCCAGCCAGGGCCACCGGGCAGGAGAGACTTGGGCAGAGGAAGAAAGAAAAGCAGATTTGGGAATGAGGCTGGCAGCCAGAGTGCAATAGGACATAGAGGGTGGGGCAGAGTCCCTGCCCCCCAACCTCTCCTCCTGTTCTGTTATGATCATCCCAAGCTTTACTGTTTGTGGAGCATCGATTTCGCTGCTGCGTTCTTTGAGCCTTTGTTTGCTCTGTGGCCAGGTAAAGCTGCCCCATTACACCATCAGCTCTGAATGTTTTTCCTCAGTCACCCCTTGTCAAGGTTAATTGTCTGGCATATTTTCTCTTGTTTCCACTCTAGAGAAATGTGTGGAGTTCCAGAAGCTGAACGCGAGCAACTACAGCCATGTGTCCCTGCAGAACGCCACCTCCCCGGTCATGGAGTTTTGGGAGTAAGTGGAGGAGCCCTTATCTTCCGGGGCTGTGGGGACTGTGTGCTGGTCCTGCCCCGCTGGCCTGGCCCCATCTGTGAACAAAGCAGAGGCTCCCTGTAGCCTGGTGTTTCTGGCTTCTCTAGGCGCCTGCCTGCTTAGAAGCCCATGTGGAGTTCTTCTGGGCTTCCCAGGAGGACAACTGAGAGAAATGCTTTCTTAGCATACCTAGTGTTTATTGGGACAGGAAGCGCTTGATAAAACCTTAGACAGTTTAAAAATTCATTTTGAACAGAAGTTATAGCATGTTTGCAATAAGTGAAGTCAAGAGTATATTTAGCCTGGAAGGCAGAAGTCTCCTGGGGGGACAGGTTAGCTTGCTTCTAGTAGCTGAAAAGCACATGGAAAGGAAGTAGATGCACTTTAATGGGTGGCGGTTACAAAGAGGCAGGTTTCTGATGTGCCTAAGGAAGACATTGGCCTCACAGCATTGGCTGAATAAAGTACTTGACTCTTTTTTTTTTTTTTTTTTTTGGTACCAGGGATTGAACTCAGGTCCTTGCGCTTGCACAGCAGGCAATGAAACCACTAAGCTAAATCCCTGGCACTGAATAAAGTACTTTAGGAGGTTATGAGCACCCACACTGGAAGGGTTGGACCTGTGCAGGACTGCTGATCATTGTTGGGGACCTGTCAAAAGCCACTGAAATTCTAAGTAGTAGTTCTGAGGGTGGGAATTTTCCCAGAAATGGGCATAGTTTTACCAGAGTTCCACAGGGTCATGACCCTTACAGGGCCACTCATACAGTCATACAAGTTGCACACTGCTAAATCCGAGGGGGCATTATTTGTATTATGGAATGTGCACTCCAGAATTGTATGATGTATATATAACTTGTCTAAAAGCATAGAGTGGCCCGACTTCAGAGCTTCTGAAATAGAAACAGGACCATCCTTTGCTGCAGGTACTGAAGAGACATTTCCCGCATGAGTTGAAGGCTGTACTAAATGCTTTCTGAGACTTTTCAATCCAAAGGAGACTGGCTTCATGAAAAGGCCTCCTCTCTCCTGATGCTAATTAATAACAGTGCATATGTGAAGGGAGTGGTTTTATAAGTGATTTTAATTCTTTTCCTCTTACCTCTCTAGAAACAATTATGCTGAATTTAGATCTATCATTCACATGCACATCTTTATACTTTTTCTACATAGGTATGTGCCTTAGATAATACCAGGGAGTAATACATATCTTTTAACTGTATTTCATGGTACATTCTTACATATTTTTAAATTTTGTATTAATTGCATCCATCACTTACATTTGTACGACAGCTTTGCTTCTTTGTTCAGTATTGCTTTTGAGATGTGGCCATGTTGATACACATAGCTTTGGTTCTTTTAAGTCCCAGCCTTCTGGGACTTCATGAGTGGCCTTCTTTGTGTTTATCCAGGTCCTCTCGATGGGCCTTTAGTCTGCTGCCTGCTGTCACTGTTGTTGTTGTTTTTTTTTTTTTGTAGAAAGCCTTTTTGCTGTCTAAATTTATTGTTTTGTTTTTGTGAGGCTGGGGATTGAACCCAGGGCCTTGGCATGCTAGGCAGTTACTTTACCACTGACCCATAACCCCCAGCCCATGCTGTCACTATTTTTGAGCATGCTGATTGAATGTCTGGTGCTGGCTTGAGTACATAAGTGAAGGTTTCTAGGCTGTATTCCTATCGTAATGTGATTTATGCAGCTAAAACAGAAAGCCTGACACTGGGTAACTGATAAAGAACAAATGTATTTCTTGTAGTTCTAGCAATTGGCAAGGGCAGGGTTAAGGGGCGGTGCCATCCCATGGAAGAAGACAGAAGAGCAAAAGAGCACATATGCTCAGGAGCAACAGGTCAAACTGTCCCTTTTAGCATAAACCCACTTCCCCCATAATGATATCCAGCCTTTGATGGATTAATGAGCCCTTGTGTGCTAATCACCTCTCAATGGTCCCACCTTTCAACACTGTTACATTTGGAATTCAGTTTCCAATGTATGAATTGTAGGGGACACATTGAAACCGTAACTATACTGAAGAGTGGAAGTGCTGGGCTGTGTGGTCCACGTGTGGTCAGTTTTATCAGATAATGCAAAAGCATTGCCCTTATCTACAGTCTGAACGTGAGTGCTTGAGACATTCTACTGCACCAATTTTGTGTAGCACTTGGTCTGGTTAGTTTTTGTTTTGTTGGTGTAATGGGTGTAAAATGGTATTTCACTATTTTGCATTTACATTTCTCTAATTACTTGAGGTTAAGCACCTTTTGATGTTTTTCTGCTTTTTGATACTCTCATCTGTGAACTTCAGGTTCATGTGCTGGTCTATTTGGATCACTTATCTTTTACAGATAGAAATTCTTGATATATCCTAGATATTACTGATGGTACTATAAATGTCTTTTCCCAGTGTGTGGCTTTTCTTTCTTATTTATTTATGGTGTATAGAATTTCAAATTTTACTGAAGTCACATTTGTCAATCTCTTTGGTTTGCACAGTTGGTGTCTTATTTAAGATATATTTCTGTACTCCAAAGTTGTAAAAAAAAAAATCTTGTAGTTTCTCCTAAGAGTTTAAAAATTGTGGGGTTTTTTCACATTTAAGAATATAATCTATCTGGAATTTTATTTTTATATCATATTGGATAGAAATCTAAGTTTATCATTTATATAAATAACCAATTTCACAGGCAGTATGTCCTTTCTAGATTGATTTGCAGTGCTGTCTTCTATATATCATTTTCCTAGAAGCACAGGTCTATGTTTTAGGCTCCCAGATTCATTGGTCTCTGTGTCTATCTCTGTGTCAATACCACATCTATAGTTTTATTGTAAGCCTTGAGCTGGAAGGGCACCTCCTTTACTTTATTCTTTTCCAAAATGGTCTTAGTGTTTAAACAATTTTAGAAACAATGTGTTAGTTTAAAACAATGATGACAACAACAACCATAAGGAGTAAAATGGCTCTGAGGTTTTTGATTGGAAGCCTATTGAAATTTTGGGTTAATTTGCAGAGAAGTGTCATCATGGTTGTGCCTCTCTGTCCATGAACATAGTATAACTAGTGCTACATTTACTTAAGTCTTTTTAAAGCTTACAAAGTAGTGTTGCTTTACTGTGGTCTGCAGAGCAGCTGTGTTGGGATCAATCACCTGGTTATCTACTTTAGACCTGGTCAATCACAGGCTCAGATTGAGCATTCTTAAGATGTATGCTAGGAAGAAGACTTCTGTGTGGTTCTTCCTAACTCCACTGGGCTATGGCTTCCTGGAGAAATCTCACAGAGACTTGTTTTGGACCTGTATATTTTCTTAGGGAGCTCATCTGAAACCCTAGACTGGACATGGTCTGTGTGTAAGTTCATGTTGTCTTGATCATTTGTTTCCTTTGTAATAGATATGGAAGCCCTCAGATCATTATTTGTGTTGTGTATTTGTTCATTGTATTTCTCAGTGAGCAGTCATGAAGCAGCTCCTGTCTGATTGTACTCACCACTGCCAGGCTATGAAATACCCTCAGTGAATATTTATAAGATGAATGGATCTAAGATATATATGAATGGATGAGGAGGAAGGCAGGCAGATAATATGTTCTAGCAAAATACTACCAGAGAAGGGCTCTGGCAAGACTTATGCTGTCAGGAAGGTTCCCATTCAACACCATTGATTACTTCTGGGATCCCTTTGTGACATCCACATCACCCACTCATTTGGACCCCAAGTGGCTGGAAGGGACAGCTTGTCTGCATCCTCCTGTGTAATGATCTTTGCCAGCTCCCTGATCATGCCACATGAATCTGCACGGGAGAATGATCTCATAGCTCTGGTTTTCTATGCAGATTGCATCTCTTGTTATCTATGCAGCACTGAATTCTGGGTCCTGAAACTACTCACATAGGGGTGCTCCTTCATGAGATGGTTTTGTCATCTCCAATTCAAGTTTTCTCAAGAAGTGAGCTTGGAATACAGAGATCATGTAAGATGTTCATATCCTCCTATGAAAATCTATTGAGTCACAGATGTTTAAGGAGGGCTAACACCTATGTCTTCAGCGAGAGAATATCCACGTACCTCTGATTAACCCAGATTCCCAAACTTATTTTCCTAGAAAATAGAAGAAATTGGAATCTTTGCGCCTCCCCTCAGCATGTCCAGCCATGGCCTACTAGCATTCTGCTAACACAGCCAGAGAATATGTGGCTGGGAAGGAAGAGCTGCTTCCCTAAATTCAGTTGAAAGCTGACTTCTGGGGCTTTGGATAGAGTGTACCTATTTCTTTTTCCCTGGGACAGCCTTTCCAGTATTGAATCAGTTTCCTGAAAAATGTTTCTTCCCCTGTTGGTGAAAATTGTCTTTGCTACTTCCTTTTGTAGTGGTTCACAGATTCCCCACTTCCATTTACATCTTCATTATGTTGTCTTCACAGGGCCTCCAACTTCAGGGTCTCACTACCTTGGTCAGAGGAAAGGCCTTGGCTGTCTGCTACTTCATTCATTTGGCAAATGTCTGCACTTTTGGTGCACACAAGAAAAACACTGTGCATATTCAGGGAGGCAGAGGCAAAAGATGACATTCCAGTCTCTAGAAACAGAAATGAGACAAGTCCATCGATTACCATAAAATCACTAACAAGGCTTTTCTTCCCTGCCCACAACTGACCATGGCCTCATCTTGCCGTGGGCCCCTATCCAAACCACCTCTCATCTTAAGATTTTGTTTTCCATTTCAGGATTACTGGTTAATGAGAAAAGCTTAGGCCCTGGTCTGTGCTGGATTTTGACTCTGGCAAGAGGCCTAGGGGGCAGCTTGTCTTCCTAATGTCAAATTGCAAAATCAGGCCATCCTGGTTTCCCTTAGTAACCCATTATGCATTTATCTAAATACAGTATGTGTGCAGTTTTGAATCTCGAGGCTGCAGCCTTGGGTGAGATTGAGCCCTAGTAAGTATATAATGACTGTTAGGACATCAGATGGATCTTGATTTGTCTTCA